AGAGACAACGACTAACGATCCCGGGGCGCGTGAAGCTTTGCAATAAAACGTTCGTACTTTCGAAGCATCTCATTCTATTGAACGGTGTTTCACAGCGGTAGTCATACGGCGCTTTTTACGATCGTTTGCACGATCTGAAATTCAGCCTACAATAAAGTAGAGACGATATTTGGGTCAACTGAAAGTGCTTGTTTTATAGTTAAAAAATATCGGGGGTTGTGAGCTTACCGAAGCTTTCGGAAACATCATTGCGCACTGATTGTTTCTAGTGGTGCGCAGCAAGTTACGTGCGCTCTTATCGCGTTTTTCAGTGCTCGGCAGTATTTCCGCGGTATTTTAACGCTAACCGAAATATTTGTATACACAATACTCAAAGAGCTTTATTTCCGATAAAGGATTTCACTGCATCTGACAATTATCAGTAACCAGATTCAGTGGCGTTGCCAGGGGGTGGCACGCGAGGAATATAAAAGAACTTCTTTCCATCCGTCGTACAGTTGCGGCAACCGTAGACACAGCAGCCCGGCATGCTAGCGTGTCATGCTGCAAACGCTGAATAAAAACACGTAATTATCGCGTCCACTCAAGGGAAAGGTAGATAAGCACTTCTACGTTGCAAAAACAATGCATCAGAGGCGCAAGAAATGTTTCTTACTTACCGAAACGTCCAATTCCACGCTCGGAAACGCAAACAACCACGCGATCCGCATGCACAGCGAACGACTGCTGGACCCTTAGGGCGGGGCGCGAAGGAGAAAAGGTCACGTGTCGCCAACCGGCCAATCGCGCGGCGAGACGGCTGGATCAAGACCTTTCGCTACCTTTCGTAGATAGAGGGACTTTAGACCATCTTCCGCCACTCTGCGAAGCGCGCTCAATGCCAGCACACGAGTTTGGGCGCGTTTCTCCACTCACCGCGGGTTGAAAAACAAGTTGACTATTTGTCGCAGACGCACAAATGGTTTAGTTCGATCTCTTATATGCGCAATCTGCTTCATTGGTTCCCGCTTTTCACTTTCTTGACGTTTGACGTAGGGGCGAAGCTCGTGAAGCAGGATCGCTGCGAAGCTGATTTGCATCTAGAACAAAGTAAAAAGAATTGTTCTCTGGAAATTGAGCACAGAGTCAGAAAAAAGTTTACTGATGCGGCACGCATGCACATAGTCTTCATCGCGGAAGTGTCGGCTGTATATGAGAGTCGGTGCAGACTTGTTTATTATGAGATTGTCTCTCATACATTTTTTGCCATTTAGCGTACAGCTCAGCATTGCTTGGGGATTGATGAAAACAAACACCGGTTGTCTGCCCAAATGCAACTTGCAAAATGCCACTCAGCAATACACCATCATACCGCTAATATATACCCATGTACCTAGTGCGCGTGCTGAATGTTGTACGACGATCTTCTGCAGTCGAGAAACCACTGCAGACTGAACACTGAGAAAGCACTGAGCAAAATGCAGCCGTGGTGCGCGAATGCCAGAATGAAGCAAGCCACACGAGAGAAAAAGGGAAATTGAGAACAACCTGTTTGTAGCACTAAGCCACAAGATAATTTGTACAAATTTCTTAGCAAGAAAGCTGCTTACGTAGCGAAAAGTTTGGACGTTGTAAGTTTCGTTTATAAATATGTTTTTCCGCGAACGCGAAGGATAGCGCAAAACTGATTTGCACTGGAGAGTTTTAGTCCCATGGCAAGCGGCTTGCGAGCGTAAACAGAGGCGTTTGTTCGCATTTTTCATGGATGTGGCTTGCCGTACAATGGAACTCCAGGTAGTTTGGGGCACCCGGAATGAACTAAACAACACACACCACTGTTCTCAGGGCGTGCAGTCCTAAGGGGTGATTCAGCAGCAAAAGTCTTCTTTTTATTTCTTCTCGTTATACGCATTTTTTTTCAACCAATTCAACTCAGGTATGTGTTTAAAAAAGCTGTAAAGTGGCAGACCGAAACTTTTAGCCCTGAAACCCATGCTAAATATATTTGCAAAGATACAGAACTAGAAAAAAGGAAAGGAGTGCTCGTCATTTCTGTAAGGGCCCTTTCTTATTGCCACCTCATTGTCCTACGAGGCCAAGGGCCAAATGTATGTGGTGCTGCGTGCTTTAAAAACAAGTGCAGCTTTGTTCATTTCCCTCTATGGTCGTTGCCAGTGCTTTATGCATTGTGCCTCGTTATCCGATTATTCCGCATTTTTTACTGACTTTCAGCTTGTATTATCCATTAGTACATGTACACCTATATTATGCGGCGAAGCATCTGATAACATTATTTATTTTAAGGATCTCCCTCTATCCCTGACTTCCTTAATACTCCCCCTCCCTTCTCTTCGTCCAGAACTGCCACTCCGTGGTTTCACATCGAGCAACACCTTGTGCCGTGTGAGCGAGCTGGAGATGCAAAGTCAGGGTCGCAGCGCACCTACCGCCGAAGGGGGGTGAAACATACTCAGAAACTCCCCCATTGCTTTCGCGACAGGTGAGAAGGCCATAAGAGAAGAATCGTGCGCAGCTGAAGTCTATAGCCCGGCCGTGCACTGGCATATCTTCTCCTGGCGCACAGTGAGGGGGGGGGGGGGGAGCCTATGTCATCGTGGAAGAAAAAGAAAGCACCCAACCGCAGACGACATGGCAATTGCACTACCAAGAATACCAAGCACGAGGAAGAGGAGGAGCCTGCACATTAACCCGAATGGCGCTTCTTTAGTTATTTCTAGGGACATTATTATAGAGATAAGCGCACTGCCACTAGCGGTCTCCACTCGAACTAGAGCCCGAGCCGGAGCGGAACGGATGGATGCATGGATGTATCTGGCTGTGCCTTTTAGATCCGGTGGTGGCCCATGCCACCTAGCCGTAAAGTTAGGTACTATCACTGTGTGTTTAAAGATTGAATTTCACTCGCGCCTAGATTGTTAGCCACCAATCAGTTAGCCTCCTCCAGGTTATTTCTACCCGTTTAAAGTATATTTGGCCTTCACTGTCCGTAAACACCAATGCTTTGAAAAATTTGGTGCCATTATCTTCTACTATAGAGCGGAGCCCTTTACAGAACATTATCAAATGTTCAGCCGTTTCCTCCTCCTCTCTACATGCAATACATACTGTGTCCGTGGCTTAGTATTTTGCTTGGTACGTCTTGGTCCGAAATACTCCCGTTCTAGCCTCGAAGAGCAAAGAACTACCCTGAGAAGTATGGTATATCTTTTCCATTGCAATTTCCTGCTTAAAGGTTCCGTATGTCTCCAGTGATTATTTCGTAAGCGTTACCATCAACATGTGCCTCTTTGTTTTCTTCACCTTTTTCTCAACCGATGTCTTATTTGGTTTTGGTATTCTGCTGTTGTCTAAATACTTGCTTGACAGTTTTCGAGTTCGCTTGCCCTATTTAGTATCAACATCCTTCACGTACAAGTAGCTGAAAACTTTCCTAGTCTAAGGGCCGCTCTATCGCAGAGCCACCTAGTGGGCGCTTCGAACACCAGCATGTCAGGGCGCACGATGGGGGGACAAGCCCCGACCATAAATTGATTCGTATCTAAAAAACTGTTCATTTAAGGAACCAAGACCAAGCACTTGCCGGAACATCGGAGCTAACCAAGAATGTCGCCAATCAAACACAAGATACAAATTTATCAAGAACGGCAAGCACTGGTGTGCACAAAAAACAGTAGTGTTTATTTTGATAAAGAGTAAAAAAATAAAATGCTTTACTGAAAAAGTTGAACGGCAGCATAAGTTGCTTACACGACCTGTGTGAGCGTGTCAAACCGAAATTGCGCGACATTGACGATGCTGTGCGGAAGTCTAATACAGAAGGTCAAGTCGCTACGCTTTTAATGCTAGTAGTTCGGGAGCCCAAATTGATAGGAGGACTGTTGCTCTTGGAGTACTATCACGTTGCATCGGCACATTACCTTTAAATGCCTGTATACCTTGGACACAGTGGGTGATCTAGCACATTACTACCAGAGTTGCCGATCGTAGGGTAGTTACCCTATTTGTATACGGTAGTTTTTCGGCTAGCGTGATGTAGCAGGGCTGTGATACAATTTTACTATAGGTCGTACAGTAATTTCAATATTTGGATTGTCACTCATGAGAAAAAATTATAGAAGATCGGCGTAACAAAACCGAGCCTTACACTACCGAAGAGATGCGAGAACTAAAATTTTCTCTGAACAAGATTGGCATTGTCTTCAGTAGCTTGTCACCATCACATATCAGAGAGAAAAGATAATACGTCACAGATCCTTGTGGTACCATTCTTTCTTTTCGTTGATGGCTTTTCCGTCTCTGTCATCTCCCTTTTGTTCGTTGCGTGGAGCAGTTTTTGTTCTAATGCAATTAAGAGCTCATTTCGAAGAAATTGCGACGTCGGCGGTCGTGAGCGAAGAATCATCACCTTTGCGTGACTGCAAATATTGAGGAAGAAGTAAAGAAAATAAATAATGCAAGTTCTAGTTCCCAATTGGGATTGAACCCTGGTGGCCGGTCTGGCGGGCCAGTGTTCTACCCCACAGCCACGGCTCTTCCTTTTCTCACGCCGCTGTTTGTGAATGCAGTGAAAATAACTTCCTTCGCTTCGAAACGCAATGAAAGAAAATTTCATTATTTACAAACACACGCGTCCTGTAACATGCTGCTCAATACAACATGAAATAATGCCGTAATAATACGTGGTACATGCATACATAGCCATCGGGCGTCAAAACAAAAGATTATCATAATGACTTGTCGGCCCGATGGGCCCTTATCTGCAGCACGCACGGTGGAAGCAGGCCGGGAAGAGCACATGCGCATAGTGTACATGTGCGGGACGACCGTCAGCATCGAAAAAAGCCCCAAGGGGTGGAAAAGTGGTGGGCAGATAAGGAGGAAGGTAAGCGTGAGACGAGCCAGGGTTTTTTTTTTTTTTTTTTTTTGGTGGCAGGCCAGCGATGCGATGCGGTGTCGGTCGCGCTAGGCGCGATGGGTTTTTTTTTCCTCCGTGCGTGCTACAGAACGGATGCCACGCCGGTTTGGGGCGTCGGCAAAGGCAAGTCCATGGCTCGTACTCAACAGTGAGTTGTGTGTGAGTTTGATTTCCCGCTGTCATGTTTCGCGTCGGCTTTCCTGCCGTTGTATTTCGCTGCTTATGTTCCATTAACCGCCAGTCTGCGAGGATTGTTTATTCCGGGTTTTCGGTCCTCTTCTGTGCGCTAGTGTCATGTTCAGCCGGTCAGGAAAGATATTTGCGAGTCTTTTGAGTCGTGCATTAAGGCTGTTCTTGTTACAAGCGTTGCTGTCTCATGTTCTGTGAATTTTGGCTCCCTGAAGCTCTGAGCGGAGGCGGGATGTTCAGACTTCATAATTTAAAGCCAGTCACCCACTTGAAGTTGTAAAAGATTGTCTGCGTAGGAGAGGTAATAGCCGCGCAGCCGAACCACGAGATTGAAGTAACTAGAAGAATAAGAATGGAGTGGAGCACATTTGACAAGCACTCTCAAATCGTGAAAGGTAGATTGCCGCTATATTTCAAGAGGAAGGTATATAACAGCTGCGTCCTTGCCGGCGCTTAGCTAGGGAGCTAAATCTGGAGACTTACAAAGAGCGTTTATCTTAAATTGAGGACGACGCAGCGAGCAATGGAAAGGAAAGTGGTAGGTGTAACCTCAAGAGACAAGAGAGCAGAGTGGATTAGAGAACAAACCGGAGTTAAGGATATCATAGTTGAAAACAAGAAAAGGTAATGGGCATGGGCCGGGCATGTAGCGCGTAGACAGGATAATCACTGGTCATTAAGGGTAACTAACTGGATTTCTAGAGGAGGCAAGAAGGTTAGTGGGAGACAGGTTAGTTGGGCAGATGAGATTAAGAAGTTTATGGGTGATAATTGGCAGCAGCAAGCACAGGGCCGAGTTGACTGGCGGGTACGTGGGAAAAGCCTTTGTCGTGCAGTGCACGTAGCCAGGCTGAGGATCATGATCCACTACAAAATACACTCACGCTACTGCACCCTTAAGGTCACGTAGTGGGCGCACAAAAACTTCGAAAAGATTTCATACACTAAGTGTTTGTAGTACGCACAAGATACAGATTATCGCTATCGCGTTCAACTCCTAATGGCGAAGCTTAAGGGTGCCCCAATTTTTCGCGACTGTAGTCGGCTTCATTTTTAGGGCAAGAGCCTTGAATGCCTCATCAAACATAATCAGTGGTTGTAGACGTCAAAGCGTGTGTTGCAAAAAATGATATAACGATACTGCCTCATGACGTTATATTGACATCACGTATCGCTAAAATTATTGATATCATCATGAAGTCACTGCGACGTCCGAATGTTAATTGATTGATTGATATGTGGGGTTTAACGTCCCAAAACCACCATTTGATTATGAGAGACGCCGTAGTGGAGGGCTCCGGAAATTTCGACCACCTGGGGTTCTTCAACGTGCAACGTCCGAATGTTGGTCAACTGATCACATGTCGCATGTTCTTAGGTGGGCTTATCCCGGACGCTCGGGTCGTGCTTAAAATTAAACATGCTTAAAAGCGGGACATGCTTATAAGTTTGCAATGCCTGCAATTGATTAGGCAAACCATAATAGGTGCAGAAATATTTCGAGTTTTCACTGGAGTCGACTCGGAAGAAACAGAAAACAAAAAGTGGCTTTCGCACTCTAGCCAAGTGAGGTGAATGCATGACGGCTATGCGATGTTTCTCGGAGACAGTCGATGGGTTGATGGAATAGCGTCCCTTTTTTAAGGCTGTGGGCCTATATTCTGTCGAGCTTATTGTGTTATTTTGTTCACATTGTCGCGAGAGGAAATGATAGGCAGGAACTCGAAGTGGAGGACTGTTTACTCAGCCCCAGCTGCCATTCACTTCTTCGCTCTCGTCTTCTGCTACCAACACAGCGTGGCATTACCCTCTCCCCAAAGAAAAAAAAAAGCATCGCATAATGCTACGGCACCGAAAAACAACGAAAGGTAGTAAAAAATGTCGTTGTCCATCGAAAAGAAAAAGGACAAGATGAAAAATAAAGAAGCAAGAAAGTAATGTACAATTGTCTTGAAGGCTATTACCTCATCACAAAGTTCTTGACTTGCAGTCAACGCGAATAGTACGGCTTCATCCTGGAGACGTGAACCACATACGAGGAGCGGGGTCTGCGAGAACGGTGTGACGTGTCTGCTGGGACAACTTCGTAGTTCACTTCGCCGAGGCGATGAAGAACTCGGTAGGGTCCGAGGTACCGACACAATTTTTCTGAGCGTCCACGTTGACGTATAGGAGTCCAAACCCAGACTAGGTCACCGGATTCATATATTTCTGCTCTGTGGTGGGTGTTGTACCGGCGAGCATCTTGATTTGGCCGCGATAAATTGCGAAAGTGCGCCAGCTGCCGGGCGTCTTCAGCACTCTGAAAAAATACATCTGCGTCCGGAGTAATCGTGTCCGGCAGAGTTGGTTGCAGCATAGTGTCAAGCATTGTGGTGACGTCGCGGCCGTAAACCAGACGAAAAGGAGCAAAGCCGGTGGTTTCCTGCAAAGCCGTATCGTAGGCAAATGTTATATACGGGAAGATTTCATCCCAATTCTTCTGATCCTTGGCGACATACATCGGAAGCATATCTGCAATCGTTGTGTTAAGGCGTTCGGTTAACCCGTTAGTCTGCGGGTGCTACGCAGTTGCTGTTCGGTGCATCGTGCAGCTCAACAACAGGATATGTCGGAGCAACTGTGCCGTAAAAGTAGTACCATGATCTGTGATGACGACAGCGGGAGCACCCTGGCGGAGAACGATGTTCTTGATAAAAAAGTTAGCCACCTCGGAAGCAGCTGCTCGCTGGGCTGCTTGTGTTTCGCAGTATCTGTTCAAGTAGTCAGTGGCAACCAAAATTCAGTGGTTACCTGCTGTAGACTTCTGAAATGAGCCGAGTAAATTCATCCCGACCTTTTCAAAAGGTGCGTTAGGGGGTCGAAAGGCTGAAGCAGACCGGCTGGTTTCGTTGTTGGAGTTTTGCGGCGCTGACAGGCTGTGCATGTCTTGACGTACTGTCGGAAGGTTTTCGTAAGTTTCCGCCAGTAGTATTTGTCCTTGATTCGCGCCAGAGTACGCGCGAAGCCAAGATGCATTGACGATGGCTCGTCGTGGCAAGCACGCAAAATATCATTGCGGAGAGCAGCAGGAACGACGAGGAGGTAAACAGTTTTCGTTGAATGAAAGTTGCGCTTGTAGAGGGTGCCTTGTCGTAGACAGAGAGATGACAAATCACGCGCGAACTGATGTGGGGGTTGTGGGCGACGTCCTTCAATGTATTCGATCAGTTGTTGTAATTTTAAGTCTTCGCGTTGCTGCTCAGCCACGTTTAATGATGTGAGGATAGCAAGGCAGCTGAAGTCTTCATCATTGTCTTCTTCAGCGACCTCGACGGGTGTGTGGGAAAGACAGTCAGCGTCGGTGTGTTTCTGGCCAGACTTATAAACCATCGTTATCGAATTCTTCTAACCAAAGGCTCCATCTTGCGAGATGGCCCGAAGGATCTTTCAGACTCGCTAGCCAGCAGAGAGAGTGGTGGTCACTGGCGATTCGGGAGGGGCGTCCGTACAAGTAGGACCTGAATTTCGTTATGGCCCATACAACCGCCAGATATTCTTTTTCAGTCGTCGAGTAGTTCTTCTCCGCAGATGACAACGTGCGGCTAGCGTAGGCGATGACGCGTTCCACGCCATCTTGATATTGCACGAGAATAGCTCCGAGGCCAAGGTTGCTCGCGTCAGTGCGGACTTCTGTGTCTGCTTTGGTGTCGAAGTGACCAAGGATCGGTGGCGTTTGTAGGCGTTGTTGAAGGTCGCGAAAAGCGCGGGATTGTTTGGGGCCCCAGACGAAGGTGACGTCATCCTTGACGAGTTGTTGTAGAGGGTCGGCGATTTTTGAAAAGTTCGGCACGAAGCAGTGGTAATAAGCACAATGTCCCAGAAAGCGGCGTACATCATGCTTTGTTTTCGGTATCGAGAACAAAGCAACTGCCGTAGCCTTGTCAGGATCGGGGTGAACACCACTGCTGCTGACAATGTGGCCAAGGAATTTCAGTTCCCCATATCCAAAATAACACTTTTCCGGTTTCAGAGAGAGGCTGGCAGTGCGAATAGCCAGAAGAACCACCTCAAGCCGCTCAATGTGCTGTTCAAAAGTCGTAGAAAAAACGTCTACGTCGTCTAAATACACTCAACAAGAGTACCACTTCAAGTCACATAAAACTGTGTCCATCATTCATTGGAATGTAGCTGGAGTGGAGCACAGGCCAAAAGGGAGAGCTTCAAAATCATTGAGATCATCCGGTGTAATAAACGCTGTTTTTGCTTGGTCCCGTTCATCTACTTCAATCTGCCAATACCCGCTACGGAGATCCACGGAAGAGAAGTAACGGGCGTGTCGCAGGCGATCGAAGGAGTCATCAATACGACGAAGAAGATTTACGTCTTTTTCGTTATCTTGTTCAGTTTGCGGTAGTCGACGCAGAATCGTAATGAACCATATTTCTTCTTAACCAGAACAACCGGTGACGCCGAAGGACTAGTCGATGGTTGAATTACATGGTCGTCGAGCATTTGTTTCACTTGATGACGGATAGCATCTTGCTCCTTCTGCGACACGCGGTAAGCATGTTGGCGCATGGGTTGCACGTTGGGCTCAGTGATAATTGTGTGCTTCATTAGAGGAGTCTGCCGGACTTTCGTAGTAGTGGCAAAACAGTCACTAAAGGATGAGAGGAGACTGAGGAGCCTTGCCTTCTTAGGTTCTTCTAACTGGCGATTGACGTTGAGGCGACTAGTCAAGTCAGTATCGCAGTCGTTCTCAGTCGAGATCATCGTAATCAAAGGGAAGGCGTCCAAATAATCCAATGCCTCAAAGTAAGCTATGGTTGTGCGTTTCGCAAAATGCCTGTGTTCGCCACCAAAGTTCGTAACTAAAATTGTAGTCTGGCCATTTCGGAGTAGAATGAGACTTCGAGCAATGGCGGCTTCCCGATCAAGCAATAACGTCAGGTTACTTTCGGCGATGCCCGTAATTGACTGCTCCCGTG